ACATGATGTAGTTGCATGCAGAAGCTGGGTCAGTACTATCAAAATCACCATCAACTAATCTGCTTGTAGCTCTTAAAACCCATTGCATCTTTACTGTCTAACATGCTGGGCTCATTGGAGCTCACTTGTTTTTGTTGGTATGAATCCGGAGTCCCAAATCTATTGAAGTTGTTCCTTGAGGCAAAGTTTCAGTGGCATTTCTGGTAGTTAAAGCTGGATGGTGAGGTTCCATATCCCCAGGGATGTGTTGTCTTAGCTCAGCTGCAACTTCACCTGTCACTGGTAGCACTGCAGAACTAATGTTCTTGTAGCTTTGCAAGCAGGCATGCTGAAAGTCAAACTTTTATGATACAACCTTTGAGTTTTATTCAGTAAGCTTGGTCCACACTTATGTGGAAAATATCTCTGAAGAACACAGGTGCTTCAGGAAATAATGCTACTGAGTTGTTTGAGATCAGATAGTCGATAACGTTTGATACTTTCTGTGCAGGCACCAGCTTCCACTGACTCTAGTAGGGCATTGGCACATCAGTCTTGGTGCTTGTGGGACCAGGATGGATGTGGTCATGACCAGAGTGGAACGGGGAGCTGTTGGCACCACCACTCTTTAGAATCTGGACCGGGATAGTGCTGCTTTGGCTCTTAAACAGCTGCTGTGCTTTGCCCATTGGGCTTTATGCTGGTGGGTGATGTAGTTTTTGCTCCGCATACGTGTGAAGGTGAATTCCCGTGACTGAATTTCAGCAGTATGTGCTAAAATTACGGCAAGCTCCTGCCCTCATTGTGTGTACAGCAGTCTGTCTTCTCAGATGCGAATAACTCAACTGTGTCATACGGATCCTGCTGTAAACCTCCATATTGCTCAGCCTTTATATGGGGACGATCGAGCTCTTCTATGTCTTAACATTGCTAGGAGCTTTTTGTTTGTTTTACCAGATCTACTCCTTATGACTGAGAGGAAAAATTGAACAAATTAGCTTATCTGTGTGTCAAGCTTTGAAAGAGCAAGTATTATTATGAGAGCACATTTGTGCTTCCTCAGTATTGCGCCGTGGTAGCATTGGGTCACTCTCAGTATTGAGCCAGGAGTGGTGAAACAGGAGTTAAATTTCATTATCATGATTACTTTTTGATTAAATTAAAAAGAGCTTTTTCTGCTCAGTATTCAGCTAGCAAATTTGACCTGAAAGTTGACTTTGGGCTGATTCTGCTGAAAATTTATCGTGAATCTTTATCTTTATATCAGTAGAAATGATGATATCTGAGTGTTGTGTTACTGGCTAATCAGGAATTCACTGGAGAGAATTGCTTGTTATTCCCAAGAGAAAATACTTGTATCCTGAGAACTTTTGCTTCTTGTAAGTCCAATTAAATGCTTTTTTCCCTAGAGCTATTATCAGTTCAGTAAGGTTTAAACACTTTCTGTCTTGTTTGCAGATAGCAGTGGCCCCGCTTTTCCACGCTGTCAAAAGCAACACTCTCAAAAACTGGCTCATTTCTATACCTGGATTCCTGGAACCTTTGCAAGACTCAGACCGTGTGCTTTTTCTTGGAAAGCTCTGTTAATCCTTGGCCTAGCCAAGGCCATGGTGGCGTGGCGTGGGTTCCCGTTCCCAGACTAGCTGTCACTTGTGTGCACGCTTGAGGAGCGCATGCGGTACGCACCATCTCTGGTGGACGCGATCGGCCTCTCAGGGCCCTGCCTCTCCCCTTCGCAAGGCTTGCCGTACCTTCCAGGTGCCGAGATATTAGCAGAAATGTGTATGTGAAATACCTATGCACCTATGCTATGTGAGCGCCATCCACAAACTCTGCTGTTGCTATGGAAACAGGTTTTCTTGGGTTTGAATACTGATTTAATTCTCTTTCTTCTCCTCCCCTCTCTCTACTAGTTGAGACACTCGGGTGGATTTTCGGTTGTGAATATAATAGTCTTTCAGACTGTGCAGGGAATTCAAGAATATTTTTCACTAAATTAATGAAAGAGCTGCCTAAACTCTCAAGGGGTTGAAGGAGATTCCCCCCCCAATACCTGCTATCAAAAGCAAAGTTTACAAGCTCTTTGTGCTTCAGGGCAGCTCTCTGCCACCTGCATGGATAATGTAGACCTTTCAGGTTGCCATAGAGAGTGGTTTGGCTTCCAGTATTGCATCAATTGATATTTGGGACGTTTTTCTTTAAAACCAGAAGGGTTGGGAACGTTGTCTTTGTATCGTGCCCGGGTGGCAGGTATAGAAGTGGTGGTTTCGAGAGCTGTGCTGTGACAAACTCCGCGGTCTGCGGGAGAGCTCACCGCAGCTGCGCGGGTTTGGGCGCGAGGGGCTATGACGCCCCACTCCGTGTCTGGGTGGCAGCGAGCGTGCTGGCGCTGGCCGTCCGAGGGCCTTTGTGCACCTCGATCCGCTGCCGCGATGGAGCGCTGGCACCGAATGGTCGCTGTTGCAGCGCACGAAGGTGTCTTGTACGCGCTGCAGAGCTGACTTTGCTCCCAGCGCTAGGCATGCTTTAGATTGAATAAAAGAAAAAAAGTGCAAGTCTGGCTTTTCTTATGTCCGTGACCTGAGCATCATGCAGGTGGAAAGGCTCATGGTGGTTTGCTCTTCCTGGAGCCTGACTCAGTAAGCACTGCTTTAATATTATTTCACTCAAAAACCGTAATTTCAGCCAAGGCGTTCTAGCAAGTGGTGCATTTTAAATCTGGCAGTGGTAGAGGTGGGTGGATATGGTAGGTAGAGAAATCTGTATGTAGCGTTTCTTGTTATTGTTGCATCTGGGACAGTGCCTTGTTTCTGTATAAGGCACAAAAAAATGCAATGATTCATTTTTAGGTCTAGGGATGAATGAAGCTGGAAAAGAGGATCAAAACTCCAGGGATTCCTTTATGGTTTGGGGTTTTTTTTAAAAAAAAAAAAAAAAATCATCCTGAATGTTCATTTCCTCCTAGAGGGACTGTCAGCAGTGTGTTCAAGGAGTAATGGGATGTCATGTAAGCCAAATTCTGGTCTTACAAAGCAAGCAACTTTAGAAAAATTGTTCCTCAGTTGCATCAGCCTAACTGAAAATAATTTGGCCTCCTCTTCAATTTGGCCCACTTCATTTAGTGGGCATTCTGACTTTAGAAGACTATTACTGTAACAGGAATTAATTTTCAGTGCTGGGAAGTAGCTTTTTTATGCTCTTGGGAGTTTGCTTGCTCTCTCTGGCTTCCTAAAATCCTCTATTCGTGGTAGTAACTTGTTTAGCTGCTGATGGAAATCATGCATGTGTGTTGGGATGATGACTAGAGTCCTGCACTGCGGCATGCTTTGGTTGAAGGGTCTTAGCCGCTTGCTCTGTCTGATTTGGGAATTTATTCAGCAACATTGAAAATAAAAGCAGCAGAAAGCATTTCTGTTGAATTATAACTTTGTAGGAAAGAGCTGCTTCTAAATGACAGCCCCTACGTACTGACATTTTCCGTGCAGTTCTTAGGCTCCAAATTGGGACTACAGTAAGAAAGGGGGATGGTGTTGTAGGAGGCAAGGGGTCTGGCTGTGAACGGGGAGGCTGTGGGCATCTAAATACTGACTTCAGAGAAGAGATAAAGCTCAGGCAGCATTGAATTTCAGCTGTTTGCAGCCACAGTGAGCCTTGGCAGAGAGGAAGATTCTGGGTGGATGGAGGGTTGGAGCACTGCCCTCTTTCTGGGAAGCGAACTAGCAGTCACCCTCTGCTTGCAGTACTCTGTTTGCACATTGGCCTCAGTGGGTTTACTGGAAGGCCTCAGGGCTTAAGTGATGGGGCTGGCTGCATGCAGTGTGAGATAGGCAATACCAGTTTTAATTAGTTCCTTTTTACTTTTGGGTACTACTGGGTCTTCTGGTAACTCTGTCGCTCTCTAAAGCTGTAGCCTCCTGCGGGATTGACGAGTAATTAAATATTTGTCAAGTAGCTTCAGAGTCTTGTTGCTGTGTACTCGTATGAACGCTTTGCTATTCTGTTAGCCGTGAGGAGCCTTCCTATTGCAACACGTCTGGTTCTGATTGCAGCAGCGCAGAGGGGAGCTTGCAGCATGGGTCTCTAGGTTAACACAAGAGCGTTTCTCCTGCGTGTTCACTGCCCTGTCCATGGTGGGTTCCCGCAGCACACCGGCTTGGGAAGGCACACGTGTGGGTTGACGTGAGGAGCCTGGAGTGAGCTGCTGGGCGTGGGAATAGAGTTCTTCTTGCTTAGCAAAGACGAAGGCTTAGATGTGCTGCTCCTGTCTCCACAGCCTGTTGTTTCTCTTCCCCTGTGGTTCATGAAGTGAGATATCTAGCAGTTAAAAGCAGGAGGGTTTTTTTTTTTGCATAGGAGGAGCACTTAGTTCCCACTTGCTTGTCTGCATGCTCCCAGAGCACTGTGAGGTGCAAAGGGGAAGTAATTCCATTGGTAATGTGAATATACTGGATTCAGCCTTTGCTGTCCAAAATAATATCATAATGGAATAGAATTAGAATTATTATTAACAGCACTGAAGTTGGAATAGGGTTGATGGAGACAGAGAAGTGTCATTTTGGGCCACTGCGGAACGGCAGCACCCAGTAATGATGAAAGAAGAGCAAGACCCTAGAACCGCTAGAGGAGGAGCGATGATGTAATGCAGAAAAATTTGCAATAAAGAAGGGGTTTTAGCCATCTAAATATGCTCTATTGGAAACTGCATCTGAAGCTAATTAGAATCCTGGTAGGGTCTAAAACAGATGAATTTTATGGAAAACACCTTTTGTGGGTGTGTGTTTTATGCTCCCTGAGTCTGAGGGGCAGAGAAACACTTCCCTGGGGGTGGCTGGCAAGTGAGTGTGTCCTACGTTGAACCTGTTTCCTTTTCTGTGGCTTCAGTCTACATAAATTCCAAGATAAATAGCCTGTGTGGTATGCAGTGTTGTACTGAGGGACCATATTTATTCTAGCTTGGAAAGCTATGTGCTGGAGTGTCTAGTTTAAAACTGACAGGATCCCCAGTGCTGGGAGGTGGGAGCATGTGGGACATCAGGAAGGAGTGCAAGCATGGTATCGTGCTGTGGATGAGGCGGAGATCTCCCATGTTGGAAAGCTCCCATGGCAAGTACCTTCTTACCTCAGCGTGGCTGGGCTGGGAAAATGGAGCTGGGAGAGGGGATGGAGGTAGGTCCTCACGCCATGCCCTGGCAAAACTTAGTGGAGACCTTGGAAGAGACTTTTTATAGCTGGGGGTTTTGTAGCAAAGACTCAGGAGCTCCTACAGCTTGGGATGAGTCTCGTACCTGTCATCCCTTGCAGCTCCCTCGGGGATGCAGCACAGAGGCATGTGCTTGAGAGTGGCCGGCGGGTTGGCGTTGGGGCAGGGGGTGGCCCCTGATGGCGGGCAGGGGTCAGAGCAGCCTCGCAGGCTCCTGGAGAGCCTCGTGGCAGGGAGCAGGCTCCTCAGCTGAGCCTCTGCAATGTGTTGTTACTGTTTATATAAAAATAACAAATCTTTCCAAATATTTATTACTATATCATGCGCTGAGGAGCGGGTGCAGTGCATTCAGAAATGGAAAGCCGCCCCCAAGCAGCTGCCAATCTCAAACGAGGCTCAATCTGAACGGCGCTCACAGCTGACGTGGTAGGGCAGGAGCAAGCAGCTGTGAGCGCTGCTGCCCGGGGGAGCCGCAGTCGGCAGGGCGCCTCGGGAGGGTGGCGGAGGATCCCTCAGCAGAGCATGGGCATGCCTGCTTGGCAAGGGTGCAAGGGAAGATGATGAGAAGAGAGGGCTGTAAAATGAGATCTGCTTGGAAAGAGTCTTCCCCTCCCGCCCCCACCCGCTGAACCCTTCAAGTGAACACCGAGTTGTTTGCAATAGCGTTTTGGTGGCTTGCGGGAAACGTCAAATGCAGCGCGGTAGAAGAGTTGCTCCTTCACGGCGAGGAGCGTCCAGTAGCTTGCAGAGCAACGTGCAACAGTTCCTGTCGTCTTGCTTAATCACCCTTTTTTATCCCAAAGATCTGTCTCTCTCAGATCAGCCGTATACCTGACTGTAATGAGGGGGCTTTATGCATGTGCACGCGTGTCCTTCTTGGTCTGAAAGCGTCAACAATGCTTTGGATCCTTCTAGCTCACAGCAACGTTATTCCTCCTGTGAGGATATACAAGGAGCTGCACCCAAAGCAGTTGTTTTGGGGACGCTTCTGTGGTTTTCCTTGGGCCTGGGGAGCATTGTAGGCTGTCACTGATGGCCCCGATGGGGCTCGTGTTGCTGTGGTGCTGCACCGTGCTCTCGTGTCAGGAGAGTAATGAAATGCAGATGACTTAAGGTGAATTCCTCTGGAGGATGGGATGAAATTTAAGATCCAGCTGTTGGAGCTCATTTTCCTGCTCTGGAGAGATTATCTGGCCTTAAATGTGTCACTGTTAAAGGGTGATCATCTCTTCTTCAGCTGAAGATCAAATTTTTACTTAGAACTCGAACAGGAGGACTGCACTGCGGCTCTCGGCGCGCAGTCACTTTGAAAGCGTCCACTGAACGCGTGCGGTTGAGAAATCAGCAGGAGTCAAAGCAAGCAGACGTGCGCATATCAAGCCTGGCGAAGGCGGACACGCAGGCTGATGGAGTTGCTGCTTCTTACATGATTTGGTACTGCAAATTTAAATGAGTTACTAGAAGCTTCTGCTAATTCTCCCCTTAGCTGAGCAGACAACTTTTCATGGCTTAGCAGAGAAGTTTCTCTCCCTTATCTTGCATAGCAAAAGGGACATCAGGAGAAGAGGCCTGTGTGAATTGGGGAGACTTGCCATGGATATACAAACAAAACAAAACACCATGTTTCTGAAACTTGCCCTGTTTCGTTTACATAAAGCACCACATAACAGCCAGCAAGAAATTTCAGGCAAGCTTAAAGGTTTTTTTCATTTCTCCCTTAAGGATCTTATATATGGCTTTTTTCTTTGTTGCTTTATTTTAATAAAGCAAACCGAATGTAAAGCTGCCTTTGGGCTGGCTGGTGACAGCCTACATTTATTGTGCCGGGGACGAGGGGGATCCCGTGCCAGCTACCGCAGTACAAACTTTATATAAAATTGCGTCCCTCGGTGGGGGAGAGGCTGCCCTGTGAAACACCTCTGGACTTCTGGAAGACAAGCCATGGCCATCTGTTTAGAGGTGGTGGGAGTACATGCGTTTCGAGCGAGGGTTATAGAGACCAGCGTGCTGGGGGACAGGCTAAATTGCTTGTCCAAATTTCATTAAAAATGCAAATGGATTCTTTCACTGGGACAGAGTTGCGTTAAAAAGTAGGCCATACCATAAACATTAATAAAGTCGTATTGGCCAGCAGGGACATGGATGTGGAAAGCGAGCCAAGAAAGCTCTTTGCAGAGCTCCATGTAAATAAAATGACTCTTCCCTCTTTCTCTTTTCTTCTCCTCTGAAAGCTGGCAGCCCAGATAACGTTTTAATTGAGCACAGTGGCATGTAATTGTGCAGGACCATTGCCCAAGATGAGTAAATCTAATTCATAGCCTAATGAAGTTTTGTAGATGAACCAGAAGCCAAACGTACTGGACACTTGGAAAGAGCTAAAGCAAAATTCACTTCTACAGTAATTGCTTACAAAATACTAAGCAGGTCTGATTTCCTTTCATCCCTCTTCCCCGAATGTGTTTTAAGATGCTTCCCTCAGTATGATACTGCAGGTCATGTCCGATTCCCACTGTCTCCCCTGACCTTGGTGGAGTACTCTGGTACCTCTGCTCAGAGAGCTTTCCGTGGCCGCGGTGTCTGCCAGGTCCCTGAGCGAGAGAACTTTACCCAAGTGCAAAATCCTGGGCTTCCCCTCGGGAAAAACTGGGAAAGGGGAGCAAACCCCCCAGCACGGAGCTGCCTCGGCCCCCTGCCACCGGGCTCCGTGTCTGCGGGCCGCCCGTCTCGCGGCATCAGTAACGATCCCGTTCCCAGCGGCTTTGGCTGGAGGGAGAGGAGCAAATAGATACCGTAAATCTACATGTTGGAAATGTTATTTTAATATCTTACCCATAAAGCATCAAAAGGAATGCCAAGTACCCTAGAGATGTTGCCAGCTGCAGCCCTTTGAACGTCTTAGAGGCAGTAACGCTGCTGTGTAATAACATATAGTGCTCCGAACTGCCATGAGATAATGGCCTGTTTTCAAGGGAAGAAAAACAGCAAAAACCTCCACGTAGTCTGCAGCCTTTCCTGCAGCAACGTAGCTGTGGCGTGGGGGGGTTGCAGCGTGGCGGCGCTCGCCTGGCGAGGGTCAGCGCTGGAGGACTGGGCTGTTTCTAAGCCTCTCTCCTAAGAAGTGAACATTCACATCCCGGCCGTGGCTAACTACTACGGAGAGGGCCAACCCCGGAAAACGCTCGACGCCGTGGAGAGCCGCCTCCCTCGGGCGAGGCGCCAAGCT